ACGGTGGGCGCCAAACTGTTGATGCGAAATATCACACAACCAATTAAAGTCACGGAGTTTATAAAAAAAGAGGGGGGCCACTTTCTTCTTCGATTTTATGCCTGATTCTGGAATTAGGATGACCTAGCAATCTGCATACAAAGAGTTGTAAGAGGGCGATGATGAGTTCCCCCGTGATACCTTGATGCGAAATATCACACAACCAATTAAAGTCACGGAGTTTATAAAAAAAGAGGGGGGCCACTTTCTTCTTCGATTTTATGCCTGATTCTGGAATTAGGATGACCTAGCAATCTGCATACAAAGAGTTGTAAGAGGGCGATGATGAGTTCCCCCGTGATACCTCCGATGATCAAGTCAGTTGATAAACTTGAGTGGGGTCCAAGAAGAACTATGTGTTCTTGTTTTTGTGCAGTGTGTGCTTTAGGGGGGTTTAGATTGAGAACCTTTGGCTATGGCGAATAACATCTGTATATAAAGAGGATGTTAATGACAGATTGGTCATTTCGACCATGCAAATAGTGGTGACATAGTGTGAGCTGGAAGGTGAGTCATCATTTGCTCTACATGTGTCGTCTAGCGATAGGAGGAATATCATTTCAAACTCGATTTAAGGAGCGATCGATGGGACATGGGCTGATAAGCGGCATGATGACGTATGGTCTTTGAGTAGATATGATATAACTTGTTGTCAGGATGGATAATTTCTGATGAAGTTATCTTCTAGCTTCGCTGAGAAGCAATGTCCCTCATGATGGGACTCGCGAGGAGAGTCGACTCGTTGAGAGGAGTGATGACTCAAGGATTGCTGGCTGGATGGAGTTGGGTGATGACTCGTCCCGCCTTTCGAGTCAACATGGAAGAGTATCGGCTCGGCTAGGTTGACTAGGCTCTTGACGAGTTTCGTCCCGCCTTTCGAGTCAACATGGAAGAGTATCGGCTCGGCTAGGTTGACTAGGCTCTTGACGAGTTGCCTGCTACGAGAGGGCCAACTGGTATCACCTTTCGTGTCGACATTGATGGATATTGACTCGTCTGGTCAGATAAGTCGGACTGCTAGCTGATCTCTGGCTATCTCTCCCATCGGTCGAGATGTCGACTTGTCTGGGAGGTCAGGATGTCTCGTACCGATTAGCACCGCTTCTCGTGTCGACACTGGGGTGTCGGCTTGTCTGGCTGGATGGAGATGGTGACTCATCAGATCATATATTTTGAAATAGTTGTACCCCATAATAGTTGGCCCCTTTCGCTTGGAGTTAGCTTTAGTCGAGCCCAAGTGAAATGAATAAAGCTCTGGACTAAAGTTAGGGTTGCAGATTGCTTCGTAGCATTGCTCTGATCAAGCGAACCAAGTGGCAATTCTTGAGTTGGTCGTGTTGTGTCGACCCGAATGTTGCGAGTCGGCTTTACAACTGGCTCATATTGTACCTATTGTGGGCAAGATGCTCGGGTCTTGTGTCGACGAAGATTGGTAAGTTGAAGTGCTTTAAGTCTTTTTGCCGAAGATAACCGGGCAATTGAAATCCATGCCTTAGGTTTACTCATGATGATACCAAGGTCTTAATGGTAGAATGATGATTCTGAGGCTAAGTCTCACGTTGGATCTAAGTCTTTATAATCCTCGTATGGCCGAGAGATGACTGTGGGAGTTGACTATAGAGTTGTGCCTTGGGCTTACCCTGAGAAGGAATTAAGGTCTTGATTATGTCGATGAGAGCTGGAGGAATCAACCATATGTTGTGCATTAGGCTTACCCTGATAAAGAGCCAAGGGCTTTTGACATGCTAGCCTGGAGGTTGAGTAGCATAGGACTTATTTTGGTGCCTAGGGCTTCACCATGATGGTTGATGAGAGTTAGAGGATCCAACCACATGTTGTGCCTTGGGCTTATCTTGATAAAGAGCCAAGGGATTGGAATCCGACTGAAGAGTCGAACGCTAAGAACCGTGAGGAGAGTTGACTAGGGCTTCCCCTCCCCTATGGCCGATAGATGACTGTGGGAATCGACCAAGGGGTTGTGCCTTGGGTTTATTCCTAATAAGGAACCAAGAGCTTGCTCTAGAGTGCCTAAGGCATGGCTGAAGAGGACTCTGTGGCCCTGACTGCTACCTTGTAGGCTCGGGCATCTTCCATATCCATGTATCCATGGGCTCTGGCCATCAATTGCTCATAATTGGCGATTAGCTTCTTAACCAAAGAGTCTGCCAATGCATTGTTCTGCAGGCTGACTACGAGTGCTGACATAGCGACTGCACTTCCAGGGTCGTCAACTTCCAACCTCTTAGCTTGGAATCTCTTAAAGTAGGCATAGAGGCTCTCTTCTGGTCCCTGCCTCATTTGGATCAGCACATGAGGGGGAAGCTCCCACTTGGCGTCAGCTAGGAAATAGTGGATGAACTTTCGGCTAAGTTGCCGAAAGTTTCTGATGGATCTCTTCTCGAGAGTGTTCCACCAGAGCTTAGCACTCCCTGAAAGAGTGATAGGAAAGCATCGACAGAGGATTGCTTCTGATGCTTGGAGCATACTCATCACATCAACGTAATTTTGAACATGCTCGGAGGGGTCTCCCTCACCCTTGTATGTCTCCATGCGAGGCATCTTGAACTTCTCACATGGAATATTCATAAGGTTGTCTGAAAAGTGGTTGTTATTCCCGAAGACGCTTGCGATCGGTCTGTTGACTCGATCATATCTAGAGGCTCTAATGGTAGGACTTTAGTCGGTGAGTTCCTGATGAGGAAGGAGACATCGGCTTGTTGACCGATAGGGAGCAAAATTTGCATGTTGCGGCTGTGGAAGTCGGCTGAGAAGCTCACTAGTGAAGGTAGCAAATTGCTCTTGGCAAGATTGATGAATCATATGAGCTGTTGATTCAAGCTGGGCTTGAGTAGCATAGCTCTGATGAGGCCCTTTAGGACAAGATCGCTCAGCTCTATCTCTAGAACTAGACATGTTCTCTCAAAAAATAAAGGGGGCCCTATTGTTTGCACCAAACTGTTGATGCTAAAGATCACACAGCCAATTAAAGTCACGGGGTTTATAAAAAAGGGGGACACTTTCTTCTTCGTCTTTATGCCTGATTCTGGAATTAGGATGGCCGAGCAATCTGCACATAAAGAGTCGTAAGAGGGCGGGAATGAGTTCCCCCGTGATACCTCCGACGATCAAATCAGTTGATAAACTTAAGTGGGATGCAAGAAGAACTGTGTATTCTTGTTTTTGTGCAGTGTGTGCTTTAGGGGGTTTTAGATTGTGAACCTTTGGCTATGGCAAATAGCATTTGTATATAAAGAGGATATCAATGGCAGATTGGTCATTTCGTCATGCAAATGGCGGTGACATAGTGTTAGCTGGAAGGTGAGACATCTTTTGTTCTACATGTGTCGGCTGGTGACAGGAGGAAGATCACTTCGGCCTCAATTTGAGGAGCAACCGATAGGACGTGGGCTGATAAGCGGTGTGATGACGTATGGTCTTTGAGTAGACATGATATGACTTGTTGTTAAGATGGATAAGCTCTGACGAAGTTATCTTATAGCTTCGCTGAGAAGCAATGTCCCTCATGATGGGACACGCAAGGAGAGTCGACTCGTTAAGAGGAGCGACGACTCAAGGATTGCTGGCTGAATGGAGTCGGGTGATGACTCGTCCTACCTTTCGAGTCGACATGGAAGAGTATCGACTCGACTTGGTCGACTAGGCACTTGACGAGTTGCCTGCTTCGAGAGAGACGACTGGTACCACCTTTCGTGTCGACATTGATGAATATTAACTCATATGATCGGCTGAGTTGGACTGCTAGCTGATCTCTGGCTATCTCTCCCATCGGTCGAGTTATCGACTCGTTTGGGAGGTCAGGATGTCTCGTGCGGATTAGCACCGCTTCTCGTATTGACACTGGGGTATCGGCTTGTCTGACTAGATGGAGATGGCGACTCATCGGATCATATATTTAGAAACAGTTGTACCCCATAACACACACACACACACACACACACACACACACACACACACACACACACACACACACATATATATATACTAGTTGGATTGCACGTGCAATGCACGTGGTAAAGTTTTCATTTTATGTTTTAAATTTATACTTTTATTTATAATGTTTTGTTATAAAATTATGAAATGTAAGTAATGGATAAAACATATAGACATAATCTAAACATTCAACATTTGAACAATTAAATTACATTTATTGATTGATTGGGGGACCAATGCAAATTTGTAAGCTGGTTAAAGGCTCACATTAATTTATCATAAGTAAATTCTCGTTGCAGAAAACAATACCGATTAGATTTAAATTAAATTGAACACATTTGACCGTTCGAGAGAAACTTATAAGAATGTAAAAGAATTACAAGTTAAGAAGGCAAACAGCCATCATCTACCAACAATGCACTGTTTTCCTCTGTATTTATGCAGTTCCTTTCACTATGATGTAAGCGTCCAAACATTATACATGCATTATCAGTCATGCTCTCAGTACAAATGTTTCACTCGATGACTCACTAAAGCTACTAAACTGAATGATTAATGTTACATTTGAGACGAGTAATACAATGTTAGAGGTTAGCTACCGCTTTCTTCAAGAATGGGTTGTCTTCAATAGTATCTTGAAAGTCTGCTTTCCAGAAGATAGCCCGAAAGCCCAAGCATGCGGCCAAGCCAATTGAGCCCTTGTTGCACCTTCTGAGTTTTGAGGAAATGAATCTATAAGTTGTCCTCCAATTCATCTGGGAGATGCAATTTCTCCATCGCAGACTGAAATTTATATATAAATGTTAATAGGTCATAAATAAAAAAGCACAACAAATACATGCATTTAATGATGAAGAATTAATTCCTTGAATAGCTTACTGCCTTAGTTTCATTGTTTCTACAGTAGAATGTATTTTATAAACCCCATAATTTGCTTAATCATGTGTCCATAATTAGCTAAAATGTCCAGAATCATACTCTAGCACCCCTTATTAGTTGTAAATGAGAGAATTCTACATCATGGCTCTTTGAAGTTAAGAGGGTAAGCTCAAAAATGATTATTAATTGTTTGCAATTTTTAGTCTTTTTGGTAGTAAATGAGTCTTCTACATCATGGCTCTTCGAAGTTAAGGGGGAAAACTTAAAAATAATTGCTAATTGTAGAAAGGGTGAAGAAGGTTTAGCGGCGGCCAATACAAAAGATTCCTTTAAGCCTTGCTTCTTCTTCTTCTTCTTTTATTTTTATTTTTATTTTTATTTTTTTTGCTTTATTTGGTTTTTTTCTGTAAAGTATTATGATGACTGATGTTCAGGTGATGCTTTTGTTTGAAGGCTTCAAAATTCCATGTCTAAATTAAGGGGGAACTATCAACTGTTATATCCTAGCTTGTGGTGAGTGACGACGATAATTTGTTCGCTCCCCATCCTGTTATAACTGTTATATCAACTTTTGGATATGGGACTTTTTAAGTTCTGTTCGCATCCCTCTTGTTAATTTTTTATATTTTAATATATTTTCAATGAATAGGTCACCTTGCCTTCTTTTTCTCTAAAAAAAAGACGAGAAGATGATTAAATCCATATTAAACCCTATAGTTTTTATCTAACTTGGACTTGAAAATAGTTTAGTCCATACAAGTACGTGAATAAATTTAAAACTTAATAGATCTCCATATTAAACCCTATAGTTTTTAGCTAACTTGGACTTAAAAATAGTTTAGTCCATACAAGTATGTGAATAAATTTAAAACTTAATAGATCTCAACATTTCAGATAACCTTAGGCATCTGAAATAAGAAAGGGAAATAATAAAGGGAAAGGACAGACCATACAGAAAAATCTGAATGCAGTACCTTGATAGCAGCAACATCAGCTGCTGGAGGCTTCAGGTCCAATGCAATACCAAAGTAGAACATGTCCTTAGCATGCATATTAAGCCTCTTGTGAATCTTCCCCATCAACGCGTAGATGCTGCTCTCACATGGAGTGAAGTCCTTAACCTGCTCCAAATGCTTCAATGTCCTATATAAATATCATAGGACAAAGCTCCAATATAACAAAGAACCAATATATGGTTGGATATTTTCTTCATAATTAACTAAAGTAACAATGTTCAGGTAAATTACTTATAAACATTAGCACTTTCAATATTAAGTTTTGTACTGGTAAATCATGTTTCAAAATGCATAAAAAAGAGTATCACCAAAAGAAATCAATACATTTATGACAACCAAATTCCAAGGTTACTAATTTGGTCCACAGTGATCAATTTTATTGAACAAATAATCTTTAATTGTAGCTGTACTCATAGTTTGTCCACAGCTCGGGGTATCTATGCTCATTAGTCTTCCAAAATGAAAGAATGTCGAGTGGAGCACCACGGTCAAGTCTTGGTTCATCCAAATAAAGTTCTAATTGGGTCTTTTGAGAACTAATAATTTCTTGGCTTTCAAACGAGTCGAATTCCTAAATAAAAAAAGATACGTAAAGTACATTTGAACAAATGCCAAGCAAATCTTAGGGAAACAAAAGCTTAATTAAATGTTAGTAGGAAAAGTAGCTACTAAATGGAGTGACTAATTCCGAACTCTTCATAAGAATGCTTTGAAATGTACTATCTCAAGAGTGACTCAACTATCTCAAGAGTGCCAGTTTTATTATTCATATATTTATGGCATGGACATAGAATCTCAGGGCCTCCTATTTTTCTAATAGCATATTCCACAAATTTCTTCACTACAATTTTTTAAGTAGTAGAAAAGAAGCTGACAAGAAACTATAAACGACTGTTCTCTTTACAAAGTCATAAAGCATTACAAATTATACATCTCACTATCAACCTAAGGGTAGAAAATTCATCACATAGATAGTTAATGCCTAAACACGAGGAATAAATTACCACATTCATCATAATCAGTTTGTATGTCAAATGAGAGAATAATAAAAGGCATGGAATGGATAATCATTTATAACTGTAAAATGTTTACAAAAGAACACAAGAAAACAAACAAACATTTCCGAAAGGTATTTACAATGTGATTGTAAGACATCTACAATAAAAACTAAGAGATATACTAATTACTTGAGAAAGAAATTACCCTCAAGATATCAATGCAATCTTGATCAAATGTGTCATCATACACACGAGAAGTTCCCTCCTTGCTTGATTTCTCCAAGTTTCTTCTTCTATTACCATCCATATTGCTCAAGTACTCATTAAAGAGAGAGAAAAGCTTGTCTTTCACATTCTTAAGCTTCGTAGAATTGTGTCCATATAGCCCCATGATAGCAAAACTCTACAAATTGCATTTTGTATCGAGGATCCAAGATGCACGCAATAGCAAGTAGAACATTGTACTCACTCCAATATTTTTCAAATTTCTTGTACATTTTGGTTGCTATTAACTTAACATATTCATCATCATCTTTCATCCCACTCTTTAAAGTACGTTGCACAACAAATACTTGAAGAAAGTAGAGATTAGCTGTTGGATAATTCGTACCGGAGAAAAGACAAGTGACTGCTAGAAATCATGATACTTAAGTGAGAAATTCAAGGTGTGTTTTCATTGATTTATGAAGTTTAGAGGGGTTTTGTTCAAAACCCCCAATGTTCATGGGGATACCCTAAACTTCAAATTTGACTGACGTATATAACTGCAGCCTAATGGTATTCGAGCTGCTGAATATGGAGGAGCTTTAGCAGTAGGGGTGTGCACAGGGGTATTCTCAGGAGAGGAGCTGAAGCAGGCAAGCAATGGTAGTGCCATTATCCTCGCAGATGTTAAAGATACCTAATTTTGATGAAGCTTAGAGAGAGAAAGAGAGAACTTACAGAGAGCTCTGCCATTATCCTCGCAGATCTTAAAGATACCTAATTTTGATGAAGCTTAGAGAGAGAAAGAGAGAACTTACAGAGAGGATCGCCATTATCCTCGCAGATCTTAAAGATACCTAATTTTGATGAAGCTTAGAGAGAGAAAGAGAGAACTTACAGAGAGCTCTGCCATTATCCTCGCAGATCTTAAAGATACCTAATTTTGATGAAGCTTAGAGAGAGAAAGACCGCACGCTCCTCACTGCCGCTCGCCGCCGCACGCAGATGAAATCTAGGGTTTTGTTTATGAGAAACGAAGAGAGGACGGGTTGCTCTTTTGTGACGGCCCTAATTTTCAATCGGGTGAGCTCTTTGTGTTACACGGGTCAGGCGGGTCAACCCTAACTTACCCATCTAATAAACGAGTCAGTTCAGATTGACCAGTTTATGACCCGACCCATATAACTTGACCCATACCCAAATTAAACGGGTCGGATCGGGTCGGGTTGATGTGTCGGGTCAAAAACTGCCACCCCTATTCCAACCTAAGTTGCATGGAAACGGGTAGGGGTACATGTACCGGTAGGGGTGCAGGTAACACGTGCACGCGCACACACTATATATATATATTGTGAGGAACATTGTGCTTAGGCATACCCAATTCACCCAAAATAGGCATAATCAATTTCAACAACACACGCATACGGTCAAGGTGGCCATTATGAGGAACAGGGTGCTTAGGCATACCCAATTCACCCAAAATATGCTTAAGGCGTCAATATTCAATAGGAGCTCCTAGACACTATATTGTGAGGCCTCAGAGCTGCCTCCGCCAAGGTAGAAGCTGGGACTGCTTTTTAAACAGCCTGATAGTATAAAACAAATGTCCTATTGTATACAGGAAAATTGTAATGAAATAATGCAAGAGAATACAAGTCATACTCATGGCCGCATAGTGTATGAGCATAAGCAAATCTCGAGTCTAGTTGCACTGCACGCAGAAAATTTTTTCATTGTAGTTTCATTCTTCAATCAAATAATGTCATCAACTACACAAGCTGATACTTGCTGTTAAATAATCAATTAGTATACCAGTACAGAGATCATACTAAATGAATCTTTCACAAAAAAAGAGATCTTGAAAGTTTTCTCAGTAACATATATGAAATTTTATTCAAGGGAATTAAAATTACCCAAGACATTTTCCAGCTGAAAAGGCAGAAATACAAATCAGACAATAAGACACTTTACCCATGATAGCAGCAAGCACAAAACGATTATCCAAGCTCCAAACAATCATATTAACACCACGAGGAGTGGGCTGAAATCTTTGCCGTGAACCTCCACGAGCAGGCTGCGGAGGCATTGGAGGTGGAGGAACCTTAAGATGATAATCACGTGTCCAGCGCCCAACTTTTCTCTGACATAAACCAAAATCTAATAAGAGAAACTCCAAAGAAATTATGTGAAATCGTAGTAAGATGCATCATTAATATGGCAACTGAAGCGATTAAATGAGAAGTGTCCAAAAACAATTGTTTTAACAGTTTCCTCCCCCCTCCATGTCCAGGCACTTTGATGCTTCAACAGAAATTCTTTTATCAATGCCAATACACAAGATAATAGCTAAAAGTTGGTTTGGTGACCAAAGCTTTGGTGATGTAAAAGCGGACAAAAGAATAAACTGTTAATACCAATATGCAATAAGAACTGCTGTACACATCCAACAGGTGTCAATACCACATATTATAAGAAACTCATATGGAACCTATCAGAAGTCCAATCCATGCATCACATTACATAATTGCAAAATTTGGAGTATTTGGAAACATCCATAATTGTTTATAAAAAGAGATTTATAAACATCCATAATTGCAAAATTTTGCATGTCCATTATACTTATTCCTACATAGTTCTAAAGCATGTTCGCACTACCACATGTGTTTAGACATAAACAGGACTCAATACCACATATTTATAAGAAACTAATACAGAGCTCACCATAAGGCCGACCATGAATCCGCATGCAATAACAGATATGAGATTATCCATAGTTGCAATTTTTTTGGCTATCAGTTAGACTAATTCCTTCATATTCTAAGGCATGTTCTGACTTCTGCTTAATACAATAGTAAAGATCAAAATTAATGATTAGGTGACTACAGTTTTGTGATAGATCATACAGTCATCAAGTTTCCAATAACCAGACACTTCCAGAAACACATAATGGCATTCAGCACATAAGTTCAACCCACAAAGACAATCCTCCCAAGGATTTCAAGCCCACCAATCTCAAACGAGATGATAAAAAAACATTTTGATTCATCTAACAAGGATAACCATGAAAAGACAAGAAGTTTTACAAAGAAATATGAAAAAAAAGAAAAGGAAGAGCTCACATGGGATCTGCGTGATTTTGGAATCCGAATAATAGCACTTCCATCGCGAGAACATGTAACTATGTTGTCATGAGTGAACCTGAAAAAATGTGGGTCAGTATGCATCAATCTGACAGACAACTTTGATAAGGGCTAGTTGACAATAGTTATTCTACTTGCATGTTATTCAAATACAAGAATAAACTAAATTCAAATTACAGAATGAGCAACAGACTTAGTACAAACCAGGAGTTTTTAAACTTTGGAACATTATCCTCCTTAAAAGAATCAGCTGTAGAAGTTCTAGATGCCACCGGACAGCCACTGAGTCAAAAAGCCACCAGTATTAAGATGCGTATATAATATGTAGATAAGCACTTTATAAAGGCAGCCAGCTAACCTGAATTGTGCATAGTTAACATCATTTTCATGGCCGGATAGGAGATCCATCTCATGATTTGGTTGTTCAGAGTCTTCCGGGTTGCTTTTACAAGCATTCCAAACCTGAAAGTAAGTAGCTTGTTAATGAAGTATGGGGGCACTGGAAAGTGTCAAAATTCATCTTCTATATCAGGATAAATGTGTATATGTGCTACTTGAAAAAGTAAACCATATTGATATACCCTTGCATATGTATCTGAGCTACCAGTAACAAATACAGTTCCATTAGCATGGTAAGCACAACACAATATCTGATGATTTTGTTGACCGACACTTGATGAAGGATCAAAACTCTTTCCTGCAATGAGTTTTACTTTTACCAATGCAAGTTCTCATCCGATGGTGCCAATTAATCAGTTAAATTGCTAAATTAACCAGCTAAAGCATCTGAGGCTTTGGGACATATATTCGTGGGCTTAGCTGCGCGTGCCTAGCATCCCATATGCGACAGGTTCCATCATCAGATGATCTGAGCATCATATGCAGTATTTGAATCAATATAACACCTCAAAATGAAGCATACTTTACAGAATATCATAGTTGATTTTGCTACAAAATTCTACATATTTTTACAATATGAGGTAAGACTTGAAAATAATAGTTACGGCCAACAGTACCAAACTTTCAACAATATCATTGTCCTTTATCACAATGCAGGCCTACAGAGAAATTTGAGCAATCCCCAGGCTGAAGTATGATGATTTACAATTATATTCAGATTTCTACTATATGAAAATATTGAAGTTGTTTTGTTGATAATAGGTTACAGTAGTACTATTTAGTAATATCAAGTCGAGTAGTTCCAGAGCTAATAAGATATCTATCACAAAAGCATAATTAAGTGTTACAAATGCCAGCAAAAAGCATGTGAACATATAAACAAGCAATGAGATAAAAGGTCTCCTATAACAGAAAACCATACCACAGAGATGATGATATTGAACTGATAGCACTATAGGGAACATGAAGGACTTGTTTATTTTGGCTTATGGAAAATGAAACCATGTAAACGTTAGACACAAACAAGACGATGGATTTGTCTCATCAAGAATTTTAAGTGCTATAAAAGCGTTGAGGGACTACTGAAGGTATAGATGAGGGGGTTTTATCTGCAATTTACTCTTATAAACACATTCTGTTTCTCTACTGAAGGCATAAACAATATATAAGGTCTAACCGAGTACATGATGTGCACATGGATATGATTTAATACTGGCATATTGATAACCAGAATTTTATCTTCGTGATATAAAGATTTCCAAGTACAAATTGTCAATGGCTAATTTAGTACAGAATGTAAAGAGGATATCTTGATAATATCGCGATATAAAGATTTCCAAGTGTAAAGGCTAACGAAGTCAATAAATGTCAATGGCAAACATCACAATTAGACTCTTTGAAAGTAAAGAGTAGCATGACCATGTGAATTAGACATAACATATGACTACCCGTGCTTTTCACCTCCTTAATCCGTTCGATCTACTCGCATCCTACCACTATTGCTACTGGCTTACACATCAACCTCCATTTACCCGTAGCCAAAACATCAAATTAATCAAACAAATAAAAGGGGGGAAATTACACACCTGTGTTCCTTCTGTTCATAACAATGAACTGGAATCTCGGCTGCGTGTTTCTGCATAAATCACAATTGAAAAAATATTAAAAAAATACCCCAAGCAATCAAACGAAGAAGTTCAAATTCCTTAGATCTAGTTACCTTTTAACAACAAACAAAGATCCCTCAAAATCCTTACGACTCTAAGTTCACAAATCCACACCAAAACCCTAATCAGAGATCACGAAAACAAAAACAAAACAAAAAAATCATCAAATATGATCAAAATCATACCCACTGATTGAGCTCAATGTTGAATTCGTAGAAAGTAACGTGAGCAGCCGTGATCAGGATCTCCTCCACATGGGGATCGATCCTCTGAAGAACAGTCAGATTCAGGACTTTGGTGCTCTGCTGATCGAGGTTCAGATTAGGGCAAAATTAGAACAAAATAAGAGGAATGAAGATGACTGCAGCGATCTGAGCCGACGATCAATTTGGCGACGAAGATGACTGCAGCGATTTGAGACGCGCTACACGACTCCAACCCTAGCCGGGCTTCGGAATCGAGGATCGCAAGGAATCGAAAGAGACCGGACTTGATCGGAGCGGAGCGGAAGCGGTGAGCGAAATCGCGAGGGGGACTGCGATCCTTGAAGAGGTCTAAGAGATTGGAGATCTCTTCCATGGCGATGGAGAGATCAGTTCATGAGCGAATCGAAGAGGCGACGACGAGGGGTTGAGGGGGGAGAAGAGGGGATGGCATTGGTTTGGGGGAAAATAAATGAGAAAAAAACGGAAATCGAAAAAACACATCAGTACCAAACACTCACCAGTAATTTAATTTGGTGGAAGGCTATTTTGGGAAGGATAAAGTTTTTTTGGAACTCCCTCTTTTAAAGGGTAGATATATATATATATATATATATATATATATATATATATATATATATATATATATATTACTAAGAATACATTAAGTTGTAGATATCTGTTTCAATCACCACACTCAACCATTTCTCGAGAATTAATAAAATAAAAAATCTAAAAACTTAGAAAATTTATGTAGGACTTAACCACTAGCAAACAGTTGTACTCCCATAACACACACGACACACACACACACACACACACACACATATATATAATATATATTATATATATATATATATATATATGATGATACTATATATATATATATATATATATTATATATATATATATATATATTATATATATTACTAAGAAATACATTAAGTTGTAGATATCTGTTCAATCACCACACTCAACCATTTCTCGAGAATTAAAAAAATAAAAAATCTAAAAACTTAGAAAATTTATGTAGGACTTAACCACTAGTAACTTTGACCATATTTCATGCTACCACCTTTAATTACTTAAGTTTTAGAAAACTATTCTTAACTACCATTTCATTAACTTCAAAATATTTTTAACTTGATGGTTTTACCCACCTTTAGGATTAATTTGTTATGTTCGGATATCAAAATTAAATTTGTTGAGCTTTGTATATCAAAGTTAATTTTTTTAAACTTTGGCAATTAAAATTATTTATTGAAATTTAATATATCAAGATCAAATTTTGTTGAACTTGTAGCAAGATTAAATTTTGTTAAACTTGAGGTATTTTTGGGTTTAAAAAAGCTTCACGGTATCAAAGTGAAAAATCGAGGGTACTCCGAGTTATTTTTGATTAATGAAGCATTTTGAAGTATCAAAGCTAAAATGAAGAATAATTTGGAATATTTAACTTTAATACCCAATGCTCTAAAAAAAACACGTGTAGGGGGGAAATCATCAAAGTATAATTGTGAGATGGAGAATTGGATGGAAAAGTGCATATGTGGTTCTATATTAGCAAAATGATAGAAATGTGTGGTTTTCTGAGAATTGAGTAACTAAGGATGGTAACATGAAATAGGACCTAAGTTAGGCGTGGTTTCCTTAAAAATAACCATTTATTTACAAGAAAAACACACAATTTTAAAATTTTGACAATCTAATGATTTAAATCTAGCATATAACATATAAAAAATAGAAGTATTTATATTATCATTTGTTTCTTTATATTTAAACTTTAAAACAAAGATAAAGATTAGATCATATTATGACATATTCTCATCTTCTAAATTATCTTCATAAATAATGGAGGCAAATGTTAATTATGTGTGAGTGACCAAAATAGAAAATATCCAAAATCTATAAAAATTACTAACTCATAGAAATACTCAAAAACTATAATTTGAAGAATTTTCAAGAAAAATAAACTTACTAAATTGGTAGAAATACCCAAAAGTTTTTTTTAGAAATTATATATTTTGTGGAAAAGTTCATAGAACTTATGGAAACCCAAAAGACTTCAAAATATTAAAAAGTTTATAAAGGAAATCCTAGATTTTAAAAAATTTGCAGAAAAATCCAAAATTACAAACATTTTAAATGCAAAAGTTTTTAATTTAATAAAACATTAGAAGATTACAAAATTTACAAAGAATACAACTTTGAAATTTTAGAAAAAACCCCTAAAGTTTCATTAGTTTATAAACAAAAAAGCCGAAGCTTCACAATATTTAGCAAGCTATGGCAAATCTGAATGGCAAGAAAATATCATAAAATTTGATGAAATAAGCTCAAGAAATTAACAAAAAATTTAAAACTCATGGATGACCATTATCTGCATACAATAACTTTTGCAACAACAAGAAATATGTATTCCTTTAAATTATTATAGCACATTCTTAGTTGCTATTTATTAACAAATTATATTCATTAATAAATTTATTAATACAATATATAGGTGTCACTTAATTAAAAATTTTACTAAGGTGATGATTATAGTAACAACTAGGACCATTCAATCATTCATCAATCCTAATTCACATGGACTCGATAGATTATTTTCACTCATTTCACTCTTAAATTTATGTATTGTTATATGTAAACACTCAAAATTTCTTTATAATACTTTATCCTAAATTTAATTTCTTTTTTTATAAACTTTCTTATTTTTCTACCCACAAAATAAATTCAATTATAAAACAATTATGTCCACAATGTAATTATAGTGAAGATATAAACTTAAAAGAATCAATCATAATATTTAACCACGTGTAACGCATGTACATCTCACCTAGTAAATCCTTATACATAATTGATTTAAAATCAATGAGAGATATTTTCTATTTGACTTTCATGCTCTAATATGGTTTAATTAATATTAGCATAGCAACATCAGAGATCACTCTTCATAAGTTCTAAACTCAGAAATCTCTCACAAAGAAGTTGAGGGCTTGTTTGGTTCGTTTCCAAAAAAAATGGAAATGAAAATTCATGCTAAAAAAAGAAGAAATCAATGCATTTGAAACAACAAGAGACTAGTTTCTTATGTTTGTTTGGGATTGAAACATACCTGGAAATCTTGATTGTATTTACCTCAGTGAGATGACCGCCCATATAAGACAAAAATTACACCACTTAATGTTGTGGTGAATATGCCAATCAAATAGGCTTTTTTCAAACACTCCAACAGTGAAAATTTCCAACGGCTATATGAGCTACCAATCCCAATACATGGTATAAAAAAACCAATTTACAATCTCATCAGAAATTTATTCTTCCCTTTCAGATATTGTGACATTGTGAGATGAATATATCGGAAGGGTCTCAAGCACTAGAGGTATATTGTTTTCTGCAAAATTCCAACACCCCTTAAGTTATGCAAGAATGAGAGGAACAAAGATAGATATTTCTAGGGA